CTGGTTCTTGATATGAACTTGCAACGTTATAAACTTTCGGCTTCCAGATTCCATGCTTCCTCCTGGTCATGGGATGTACATTGGAGACTGCTTGTGGTACACCACTCTCCACATCATGTTGAACTTTGATGCACGTTTTACTGTACCATTCACAATTGCTATTATTATTACTACCAATGTGATTCTCTCCTTGGACCCCACACGTGCTATCACCACAATTGTTATTATTACCATCACCGTGACTTTTTCTTAGATCTTATAGTTTCTATTATTATTATTGCTATTATTCATAGTTACCGCACCATCATACTGTCCTTGGACCATATGTGAGCTGTCATTTTCACTACCATTATTTGTATTTGCCACACCATGACAATTTCTTTCTTGGACCCCACGTGAGTGTACACCATGCCAATTTTCTTCTTGGATCCCACGTGAATGTGCACCATGACAATTTCCTTCTTGGACCCCACGCGAGATGCCATCACCATTACTCCCATTATTTATGTTTGCCACACTACTATGATTACCTTGGACCCCATGTGAGCTCCCATTATTTAAGCTTGGCGTACCACCATAATTTTCACTAATATTACCATTATTTATGTTTGACGCAACTCTATCAACCATTGGACTATATGCGTTTGTTGGAGTAGTAACGTAGGTGGGCACCACGCCAAGAGGCACATGCACATTGAACCTATGCGCATTGGACCAATGCATATTGGATTCATGTGCATTGGATTCATGCGTATTGGATTCATGCGCACCAATACGATAGCTAGTTGAAATAGAATTCGGTGTGGCCCCATTACCACGTGCATCCACCATTTCAAAAGGCATGACCCTAACAACATCTTGACTTGGATTATGCGCATCTACCACCACGCCAAGAGGCACATGGGCATTGGAATTCGGTGTGGCCCTATGCTCATTATAAACTATAGGCAACTGTCCAGTAGTGATAATTTCTTGTCTATGGAACTTGCATGCGAATTGACTCTTATCAAAGGGAAAAACTTGCTCATCAAACCTCATGTCGAGACACAAAGACTCTATCATCACTGTATAGACATTTGTACCCATGATGTGAGGTGTTGGGCCTAAGAAACACACATTGCCTTGACCAAAAAACCAATTTATGTTGATTAAACGGTCTCAAGAAAGGAAAGTAAGAACACCCAAACACTCTCATACCTGAGTAGTCAGGAGATTTCTGATAGAGAACCTCAAACAGGGTCTTACCTGAAATAATCTCAGACGGTAGCCTATTTATGATATACACTGCCATAGTAAAGACATGACTCCAGAACTTTGTTGGCAGTGATGCTTAAGCTAACATGGCTAGTCCCATTTCAACAATGTGGCGATGTTTACGCTCAGCCTTCCCATTTTTCTCTGATGTGCTGGGACAGGAGATTCGATGTTGTACTCCATTGGTAAAAAACCAACTCTTCAGAGCTTGATATTCACCTCTACCATCACTCTGTAATGCTTTAATTTTCTTCCCAAACTGAAACTCGGTTATTTTAACAAGGTTGAGAAAATATTGACTAACTTCATACTTCTTTCTAATTAGATACACCCAGGTATGTCTGCTGAACACGTCAATAAATGATATATAATATACGTAACCTTCAGTCGAAACTACAGGAGCAGGTCCCCACACATCTGACACAACCAGCTAAAAAATTTCTTTGTATTTAGTCAACGAATTACAAAAAGGCAGCTTGTGAGCCTTGCCTTGTAAACATGCAGAACAAACATTGTTTAATTTATTTTCACTAGAAGAAACATTACACATTTTCATAACATCTTTGACATACTTCACATATGAGTGTCCTAAAAGCCTATGCCAAAGTTCCAAACTGCTTGAAGCTTTGGACACATTGTTCACTATGCAACTTGATTTCTTATCTTCATACGGTAACAGCTGATATAATCCTTCACGTGTGAGCTTCCCTCTCAACAGAATGGTCCGAGTCTGTGCATCTTTCACCAAGCATTCAAAAGGATGAAACTCAATAAATACATTGTTATCACATGTGAATTGAGATACTGACATCAATTTCTTCTTAATGTGTGGGGCATGTAACATATTTTGTAACACCAGAGGTCTGAGACTAGAAGACAGAAAGCCTTGACCAACATGATCAATTTTAATCCCTTTACCATTTCCCATTAGAAGAGTGTTGTTACCTTTGTATGGCATACCTGAATTGAATGATACAAGATCATTTGATACGTGATGAGTGGCACCCGTGTCTAGATACTACAAAGCATTGGAGTGTTTTGGAACACTGTGAACTGTTGCTATACTAGGCACAATGGATACAAAAGCGGTAGGTACAATATGAACAAATGACTCTTTTCCTTCTGTTGTTGTAGGATGAGCACAGTCTCCAGGAAAGGTATTCATTACCTGATTCGAGGAGTAAGACAGTCCTTGACGAGTCAAAGCATAAGGCACACCATCCATAGAACTGGATGAATAGTGGTAGAAAAACAAGAGATTGCAACGTATGATTATACGCATGTCTATTCACAAGAACTACCTATTCAGTTGTTTTCTTCTATTGCTCAACAGATTGATCTTCACTGACAACTCCAGTGAAATCTCGGTTAAAACGACGATAGCACCGCTGAACAATGTGCCCAAACTTTCCACACAACTGGTACTGTGGCCGATTTTAATTGTTAAACCTTCATCGGCCTCGACCACGATAGCCTCCCTGTTGACCTCTCATGGGATAAATTTGATTTTCTGTTGCATCTGTTTTAGTGACAGCCAGAGATCTCAACCTATTTTCTTATTTTGGCTGGACAACCATATTTGCAGCAATACCATCGCTTAAAAAAACTTTCTGCCTAGCCTCACAATCCAGGAGCATTTCAGTGAGATTATCCAAGGATACTTCATCACGAGACACTATAGCAATAATAGACTCGAATTCTATTGACAACCCAGCAAGAATCACACTTACTTGTTCTTGTTCAGGTACAACACAACATGTCGCATTCAACAAGTCACAGATTGTCTTCATCTTGGCTATATAATCACTCACAGTCAAGTCATCTTTCCTCTGAGAGTGCAAATTGTGTCTAAGAGAAGAAATCTTAGCACTAGAACGAACTCCAAACAATCTTGAAACTGTATTCCAGATTGTGTGAGAGGATGTGAGCCCCGTAAGATGTCGTAAAACCTCCATGCTAACCATTGTCAACAACCACGAAACAAACAACTTGTCTTGTTACGTATGCACAACATACACTGGATTTTCCTCAAGCTATCCTAACTTATTTGTAACAAACTGAGATGGAGCAGGACTATCACCATAGATATAAGCCAACAATCCATAGCCATCAATTATAAGGGTCACCTGATGCTTCTAAATAAGGTATTTTAACTCGGTAAATTTTATGACATCCTGTTTAGGTATATGTTGTACACTGGATAGGATCGAAGAACCACATACGATAAATTGACTGTGGTATTCACCGGAGACTGAACACCAGCTTGTTGCAAGTCCACCATCTTCAAAGAAAAACAAGAACCTCCAAGAAAAGAAGCAAACCAGAAACAACAGGACCGTTTTGGCGACTGATACCATGTAAAGATTAGCAACAGATGTCTAAGCTATGAAAGCAAGAACAAAGAAAACAAACGAAAGAGAAAAATCTTCTGAAATTCATTATCTTCAAGAGTGTATGTTTACAAGTCTCAAGGAGTGTATTTGTAGTTAGTACTATAGCTGTAACTAATGATGTAACTAACTTCAACAAACTAACTGCTTCAACTGATTAATTGCAGTGTATCAATCCTCAACTACACGATCATCATGCATAACAGTTGCACGTGTGCTTATATGCCATGCATTTATTTACACTAACAATTTTGTCTTCGAGGGGGAGGGTTTTAGGATTTAAAGAGAAGATGATATGATACGAGACGACGTCGTAAATGAATGCCTGTTTTTTTAGTAATTGTTATTAGGGTAAACTACACGTTTAGTAACTACACTATCACTTTTATTCTGTTTTGATCATTCAACTATTTTTTTAAAATTATATCTAATGTTACATTTTCGTTTCATTTTGATAATCCATTGTTAAAAATTTAACAACGATATTGATGCATCACCATAAGATTGTTAAAAATTTAACAATGATTTTAATGCATCACCATAAGATAATGTCATGTTATCATTAAAAATAAAAATGTTATCTCAATAATTTTGTTAAATTTTTAACAATAAAATAAAATAAGAAATATCATTAATGATGATTAAAAAGATAATAATTGAATAATCAAAATAAAACTAAAACAATAATAGAATAAATAAATGTATAATTTACCTTAATTTTTTCCCTTAAAGGTAAACTACTTATTTAACACGTCACTTTTTTTTATTCTCACTAATATATTTTATAATCTTTCAAAAAATAATAATATATTTTATAAAATCATATTTGATACTTATTATATTTATATTTTAGTGTTCATTGTTTTTATTAACTATAGTGATTATAAATAATATTTGTTCTAAATATCCTCAATCATTTGATAATGAACGTTCAATCATCTTTACTACAATCGTTAATACTCAAATCCGAGATCTTTAAAAATAATAATCATTTATTTAATCACTATTAAATTTAGTCTTCAATTCAATAAAATATAAATTGAAGGCACATAAAAAGTTTCTTATTTTATAATTTTAATTAAAAAAATAAAAAAAATTATTCTTAATAAATATTAAACCTATAATTTAAAAAAAATATCAATTGAAAAGTTTTAACCAGTTACTCTATAAATTATTGATGACTCATGTCATCTTTAGATACAAGTGACATTAAACATTAATTAAATAAAAAATTAAAGAAAATAAAATTTAAAAATTTTAATTAAAATAAATGAATACGGACAAAGTCACAAAAGTATGTAGCATAGTATATTATTGTATATACACTACATCCGACATAGGTGTGAAGAAATCTAAAGGGAAGCCTTTAGTTTAGTTCGACTTAGTTGGGTCATGTATTGTAGGAGAGTACCTCTCCTTACGACGTCGTACTCGTTCTGTCATTAACAAATTAGTACTCGGGTAATTTCTAGAGCGGCGGCGGCTAAGGAGAGAAACTTGCATCGGTGAAGATGGCGGCATGGACAGCCAAATTTCTGCTTCCGATTAGACATTCGTTTTCTCAATCCAAGAAGTTATGTAAGTATTATCAATCTAATTTTTATTTATTTTCGTTGAAATCTATTCATTTTTTTTTTCATTTCATTTCGTGCAGTTCATGGAAAAATTGGACCTTTGAAAACATGGGTTCATAGTTTTGAACCTAAACTGCAAAACAGGGCCTCAAAGTTTGAGCATAAGATAAATATACAGAGAGAATATGTTCAAGGTTGCTGCTTATCAGGCAAGTCTGTTTATGTTTAATGCTTTTTCTTTGCTTATTTTTTTCCCTGTCTATGTATTTTTTGGTTTTACGGATACCCTTTCTTTTGTTAATGCAGATTTTCAGTGTTTGTCCATATTATTTTCTCTCTGATGTTTTTAATTGTTGATCTCGTGGAATTTGAAACTCATGATTTGATGCCATTTCCATGGAAGATTTTCCCTTATCTGATATATTGTTTATAATTGTCGAACTCGTGTGTATATAAAACTAGGAAAAAATTGATTGAGGCACTGTTTATCATTCTGCTTGTCGAATTATGGTTTGTTCTTGATGACATTTAGTACTCATTGTTGAGAAACCTTGCTGATGTTGGAATTCTTTTTTCCAGGAAGTAGAAATTTGAGAAGCATTTTTGGTGTATCAGCCCTGCTTGGAGCTGTCTACAGTTTGCCTCGTTTTTCATATGCCATGGATGGTTAGTGGATCAATGTTGCTCTGACTACTTCTCTTGAACACATTATCTTATATGCATATTTTATATATATTCCACCAAATACATAAAAAAGAAGAAAAACTTTTAAAAAGTTGAACATATCTATGCCGAACACTATCTGTATCTTACAATTACATCCGAGTTTGAGTAACATAGGAGTGGATTGCCTGGTGTAGACTTATAGAACTACGACTTCAATGTATTACTTCTTCTTATGCATTATTGTTTCCTTGTATATGTGTTATTTGGGTTATAACAGCAGGATGGTTTGAATTAAAATAATGTAGGTCTTGACATTTTTGCGAATGACAATCATTTAGAGTCATTTGATGCTTCAGAAGGCGAAGATGATCGACATAAACTCTGGTTGTTGATGAGGAAACTATGGCTGCCCCTTTTTTTCATATTTACTGTTTTGATGAACTGGGATAGTCCCTTTGCAGTTTCAACTAGAATCCTTCTTTTTCCTCCTCAGCACCAAACCAAGCCCTTCATCGATCTATCTTTTTGTTGAAAAGGTCTGTAAACTTTTCTTCCACTCGGCTTCTTGGGTTCATGTGAGCACAACTAATACCTATGTTGTTCCCACTCTTTATTTTTCTTAAAGCACTAGTGTCTGGCATCCATGCTGGATGCACTTTTGGACCCAGATATAGGGATATAACCCCCAAAATACATGGAAACAATAAGAGAAAAAAAAAATACATTTTTGGATATATACTCGAAACCGGCACTCGTACCCGAGTTGGAGCAACATAGAAGCACACAACTCTGTAAAATTGTGGTGAAATCTGCATCCTGATGTATGTCTGCCCAGCCATACAGTCATATATGTTGCTCTAGTCCCTTTTTGCTTTGCAAGCTCTGACGGCATTTTTGGTTTTGCAGTTACGCTACGAACATATGCGTCAAAAACCTTTTTTCTACAGATTTAAGGTATGTTTTAACGCTCTAAAATCTTTTATTTGGTCACTAAAATATCTTTCTTTGATTTGGTGAATTTTCCATTCAGTTTCAATTTTTTTGTTTGTGAATTGCTTAAACTTTTCGGAAGTTACCATTCCATTTACATCAATAGCAAGCTAAAACTAACTATGTTGTTGAGACTCGAATATAACCGTCCAATGCAGGTGTATGTATGACTGATTAAATTTTTCTATGTTTTTCCAGTCCTTGGAGGGTTATATTCCCCTACTTATATTCGAATATGTGTCAGACACAGATACTATAAGCAAAATGAAGAGTTAGAGCAACATAGAAAAATGAAATTACTCTTACAACAACCATTCTGTTTGCTTCATTTCTGTTGAAATACCTGTATTGTCACTCATGTCCGATGTATATTGGATATGGCCATGGAGATGTGATCCTTCATTTGCATAGAAAAACCTTTTTTAAAATTAAGCATGTACATGTCAGATACATGCCCATAATCGACTCTCACACCAAGTCCAAGTAACCATGGGATGGACTTTACCAACTTCTTATAAGGGGTTGATTGGTTCAAGGAATGTGGGATTTCCATGGGAATAGAATCCATTCACATGTTTGGTTGGCCGGGAATCTCATTCCCGGTAATGTTTTATTAATAATAGTAGATTTTTTGGGGTATATTACCGGGAATGTCATTACCTCCCTTTCCTTAGGTATTGTTGGATTACTGACGTTTTAGACTAAAATGCCCTTAAAAAATTTTCTTCAAAAATCATTATTTTGTCATTGAATAATAAAAATTCTACGAAGGTTAAATTACAAATTTATCCTTAAACTATTTTAGATTTACAAAAAAAAATCTTTAATTAAAATTTTATATGAAATTCAGGGGGTTAAAATAAAATTTTACCCTTTCATTAAATTTTTTTATATTTTCAGTTTTTAAAAAAATATATAAAATTATTTGAATTTAATTTTTTTAAAGAAAATATAAATTTTTCAACTTGTTGAAAAAACAAATATAATAAGGACAATTTGATCAAATACATTCCAATAATCTTTTATTCCTTTAACCAAACACGATAATCTTACATTCTTGCTAAACCAACCAAACACAAAATACAACATTCCCAGTAATCCTATTTCTTGGTAATCTTACATTCCGTGAACCAAACGCACCCTAAGGGTAACATTCTCCCTACCCCTGTAGCCATATGAACAAATGGAATTTACAGATGATTTTATCTATGGTAAAAGAAGGTTCACCCAACGAACACCTAGTCTAGAATCTTTTTCGGGTATAATATTCTTGATTTTCTTTCTAAGCTGCTCATATAAATGGAACTACATTACCATGCAGTCACTGCATGCCAGCAAAGTCGAAGTCCAGGATTACAAGCTTCTCTGCCTTGCTACCGTCGAAATCGGGAACCAGAAGTTACGGATGATCGGAATTCTTGGCGGTTGGTGGTCATTGCCGTCATCACTGTGTCTATATTTCCTTGCTCGAGAGCAGTCCTCTAGTACATCACTGTGATAACAAGGTAAATTTATCTTCAAATGCAAGTAGCTAGTGTTAGGGGTGCAATAGAGGAAGCCAGGCTCAAAGTGTAAGAAACTTGATCTCATCTCAAAATTTGAAGGCTTGAACCTTGATTGAGCTTCACATGGAAAGCTCGAGCCTCGAACTCAATGCGAGATAAAGGTTGAATCGTTTGAGCTCGTAGGCCTGTTTACCTAGTAAAAAGTTGTCTTTGATCTGTTATTGCATCGGACTGTATAACAAAAAGATACTATCTAATGTTGAATGCATGGCTTGTGTTCTTCCTCACCAGATCTTTACCAGAAGACAGTAATTTCATCTCCACCGGAAGAATGAGGACTGCAAACATGACTCCCTTGTTATTGAAGAAAGTAGATTAAGGAGACTGGAAGAGGGTTCAAACGATCATAAAAGCTCCATGACACATGTGCTTTTTTGAGTTGAAAATGTATCCCCGGAAAACGACAGCTTCCCTCCGACCCTCCAGTTCCGGTCATGCCGGATATCACTTCCTGTAACCCGCAACAATAGGATTGTTGTTTCCCATTTACTGTCAATTGTTGTGTTTTTATGAAAAATAGTAAATGCCAAAATACTTTACTTCCCCCTCATGTTTCTCAATTCCTAATCGAGATATAACATTACGTTTGTTTAGGGGTATATACGAGCCGGTGCAAGTGAGCTGAGCGCAAATAGTAAGATATACGAGTTCAAATTTGAGATAAAGTTGAACTGTTGACTCCAATTAATTTAAATTACATAGATAGAAAAAAAATTAAACTTTATTTAGAATGACATTAAATAAATGAATATTTTAATTATAAAAAAGTATAAATATAATTTTTGGGCCTCAACCAACACGGAATCCTAATAATGTGCACACTACAATATGTTCCAACGTGGAGGATGAAAAAAAGTCACCGAAATTGCACAATTAGAACGAAATGTGGCATTTAATTATTTTAATATGGGCCCACCACCTTATTTGCTCCATTAATTTAATTGGATAGTCGGTGAAACATATTTCTCACGGCATCACCTCTCTTTTAAATACAGCTAAATTACATCAAAATTTATGCAACACGATCCATTTTAAATACAGAATAAATTACATTTTGACCAAGTACACTTTGGCATCTGACCTTCCAAAATTTATGCAACACGATCCTGGGATTCAAGCTTATACCTTCATCCGAACTCTGTCATGTCCGGGATTCCGATGTTCTGCTCAAACCACATCATTCATCGGAATATGGTTGCCTTCTAGTGTACTTACATCAAAGGTATTGTCATCTCTGGACGTTCCTAGGTCTCTCAAAACTTACAGTTACGGGCAGTGATTCGAAAGAGACTTGAATATCAGTCATTATAGTCTCGCTTCCGTGAAATGATAATCGTGTTCTTGATGAACCATCCGAATTACTGAGTCCTGGAAGATTCGGAGGAAGTACCAGCACCCTGAACTTTTCCCAAAGCATTTGATATGAAACTGTCTGTGCTGTAAGATCCTGATGAAGTTGCTGTTCCAAGCACATTAGCATTTAGAAATGGCGGCTGGTTAGGCATCGGAATTTTGTAATCTTATCGGTTAACATCTGAACCACTTCTTCCATTGATGGTCTTAAGAGAGCTGAAGCTTGTGTGCATAATAGCCCAACTTGGAGCACACCGGGGGCCTCTTTTGCCGATATTTCGTCTCTAATGCAAGGGTCAACAGCTTCAGCCAAGGATTTGATTTGTAAAGTGTCCAAACCTGAGGTTGAAACCTCAAGTTAATGATCTAAGAACAGAAAAATTAAAAATCCAAAACAATTTATTGAAAAGTTAAGAGTTGGGTGTGATGATTGTATTTGTATGTCTTCCTTGCATCGCCTCACATATAGGGATCAGGTCATCACCTCCTCATACATTTACATTGAAGGTATGAGAGGGTAGCAAACCAAATCATGATACGTGCGGTGACACAGGAGAGATGACTGAATCCGAGTTGTAACATCGGGGGCTTACTGTTTGTAGAAGGGAACCGGACTTTGTGAAGCTGCTATTCTTTTTACCACATACAATCTCAAGAACAAGTACTCCGAAACTATAAACATCAGCTTTCTCAGAAAGTTGTCCTCGAACAAGGTATTCAGGAGCCATGTATCCTCTGCACGAAAATCTCAAACCAAGTTATTAAGATCATATCAATGGAAACAGTAATGTCTTACAATCTATCGGATCCATGGCTAAATGTGCTTCTCATGCTCAAACTTTAAACCAATGTCATATGTAATACCAGATAAATCTTTGTGAACTTACAGTGTTCCAGCAATCCCGGTGCTAAGATGACTCTTCTCGGTAGCTAGACATCGAACAAGCCCAAAATCCGCAATTTTGGATGAGATTCTCATCTAAAAGAACATTGCTGCACTTAATATCTCTGTGGATTATCCTTACATGAGACCTTCTCCATGAAGATGAGCAAGACCCTCAGCTGTTCCGGCGATGATATCAAACCTCTGCTTCCAGTTCAAAAGTTTTGATTTCTCCTCATCTGAATTGAAAAAGTAAATCATCCACATTTGAAACTAAAATCATCTACATTTGAAACTAAAATCATCTACACATATGAGATACACAGAAGTTAATTGTTCCTCACCATTTTCCAGAATTGCACCAATTTTCATTTTTTCTCATATTATCTGTTTCAGACTAATTAGACATGAGTGTGGGAATACGATCTGTGTTTGACATAGGCATGTTAAATCTTTTGAAGTTCATCCATGTATTAGGAGGGTCATATCATTTACCCATTACCAACATGTATCCGATAAATGAATTCAAGAAAAATGAAAATCAAAGTAACACGGAGTAGGATTACTTGAGCTGCAAGATTATGTTATGTTAATTTGACGATGCTTTAAATCCATCGAGTCTTAGAATGGGGCAGGGAGATTCAAACAGTGGTCACAACACGATGATCGAAAACACGTCTATGGCTTTAATTTAAGCTCTGGGAATTTAGAACTTCACAATGTTGCCACCAAAACAGATCCAAAGTTTTAAAAACCAGTCTAAATATGTCAAGTAAGGAGAAAAACTAAAGGCAAATTGATTAAAGAGCAAAACATTACCGAAAATGAACTGATCAAGGCTCTTGTTGGGCATATATTCATAGACCAGGAGACTCTCAGGTCCCTCAATGCTAGCACCAAGAAGATTCACCAGATTCTTGTGTTCAATTCTGCTGATCAAATTCACTTCATTAAAGAAGTCGTCCACCCATTGCCTCGTATTATATATCAATCTCTTTACAGCTACAGTTTTTTCCATCAGGAAGAATCCCCATGAACACTGAACCAGCTCCTCCTTGTCCTAATTTCCTTGAAGGACTGAAATAATCAGTTGCTTTCAAGAGTTTCATACTTGAACTTCAAACCTGATTGTCAAACCTTTTCGAAATCCGGCCTAGATTTCGAGCTCTGGGAAAAAAATTGATGGTTAATATAGGACAGAGGACTAATGCATAAGATTGGACATGAACACCTGACATAATTTTTCAGAGCAATTTCTTTAAGATTAAGTTTGTAATTTTGCACCTCTTTTCCTCTTCGATGATCTTGCATATCAGCATAAGCTGCTGCAACGGCGAGTGTTAGGAATGCAGATGATGCTGAGGCAATTGCTATAATGACTCCAATTGAGAGCCCTGAAAAATAGAAAAGAATACATTGTAATTCACTAGAAAGTGAATAAAATTCAAACTCGTTGACTCAACTGTCGAACTACACCTTCTATGAGCTATTATTTGCTACGGAAGAAAGACAGTTTTTACGGTTTCCTTCAAGAAAATGTGCCACACTAGGGAAAGGACGACACTAGATGTAGAATTGTTTTTCCCTCAAAAGTAGCTCCGTCGATAAGGACCACACTTCCCCTACAGCAGCACACTTGCGAATGACGAAACTGTTTGAACTTTCTTATATCCGAAGCATATATACCTTAGAAGTTTTACTCCTAAAATCCTTATATCGATAACTTCGTGATTGTGAAAAACCGACAGCTATGTTTCTATTACAATCTGAAACAAAACCACCAAACAATCCAAGTGGTTCCAGCAGGAAATCCAGCAACCAACCAGATATCAACAGTCTCTATTATATAAAAAGGCTAAATACAACAAAAATATCTAAAATGAATTGCAGAATCTACTCTTGAACAGCCAAAAAATAATCTCAAATCACCCTCTAAATACATAGGAATCCAGGAAAAATGTTTAGGATACTCTATCAACAGAAATACATATCCTACACTCGAGCGATGATCAGTTCTAGATAACTTCAGTCCATTTCTACATTAAAATCAAGCTCAGTATCTTCAAAAAAGAAAAACAAAGGCAAAAGACCTACCACATGACCATCAGAATCGGCCCATCATTATAGAACCTATTTGTGGAGTACCTCAAATAGCACCCAGCATTCAATGCTCTCCCTTCGTCCTTGGGCACGCATCCTCTCACCGTTTCCGCCGCCTTCTGCAGGCACTGCCGACACTCCGCCGGCGTAAGGCTCTCCCAACACTGCGCCAATGCATACACCCCATCCATCCCGACCGCCCGATCTATTTTTCTCAAAGCAATACTCGTTACATTCCCGACCGCATGGTCAACGTTTCTACCAACAAAATCATCCTGCTGTTGTTATCTTGACGACCGTCGTTACATTATTGGAACTACAATTGACGGCATCGAAAGTTGACGAAACGGATTCGTGAAAGAAATCCCGGTAATAATCGTAACGCAAGAAGCAGCCATCGAGGAAGATTCGAGCCGAGCGAGGGAGGCAACGCGGATTCGGGTCCTTGCCTGGCATAGCAAAGGAGGCAACGTAGAGTTGAGATGATAGGAAGCAAAGATATTATTGTTGATCTGATCTGACAACTGTTTCATCAATTCAGTGAAATCCGGAACGTAGTTCGTCCCGTTTGGCGCCTGTGAATCGCCGCAGAAAAGCCCGGCGTTTGTGATTCTTGGATCAGAGAAAGAGGTGGAAACTAACAAAGAAAACATAAACAAGAAAACCCATCTCCAGTGTGGTTGCTTGAAGGCTGAAAACTCCATAGATT